AGACAGTGACGAGGCAGTCATGTGTTTGGGTTTACAACCAATGAGAAGGCAGAACAACATACTATAAAAAAAATCGAACAGACAGGATATAGTTCTCTTTCGGGAAGCTGGGACATGGCAGGCGGAAGGGTGAGATTTTAGCTCTGAGCTCTGACCTCTCGGCTTTCTCTTTTACATTGTTTCTGTGTTTCTTATTTAATAAGACTGTTGGTTACATCTATACTGGTCCCTGCCTCCTGGTGTGAGCAGACTGCCAGGTGGCTTTGCTCCCTCGGAACAGAGGATGACTTCAGCTGTTTACTCAGTTCTGTGTTCATGAGTGTAATTCATTAGTGTATTTCCTTAGTTTATACCCTAATAAATTCCCCAATACTCCTTAAGCAGACTCCTGTGGATTTCCCGCTTTAGGCCTCACTGTTTTGATTGTCTCTGTCTTCTCATCAGTCAATGAGAATTAAATTTCTACATGAGTTTCATAGGAAACCATACCCAAGCCATTGAGAATGAGAAGGGAAGGGCCAGTTCTCACCCTCGACTTGTTCTCTTCCTACTTGATTTCCTATCTTATTCTGTTTAAGGGTCTCATAATCCCGAGGGCAAACATTCCAGCCCCATACTCCAGTGCAAGCTCCATATTCCTCACTCATAGCTGCTTCTTGGCCACCCTCTGGACTAGTGTTGTACACCAGTGACGTGGTCCATCCTAGGAAGGACAGAAGAAGCTGCTTCCAGGGGCAGAGAATTCCCTGTTTTTTAGTCCTTGAAATGTTGATCAAGAAAGAGAAATATGGGATCTGAGTGGGCATGCTGTTGACCCTGGGGACTCTTTATCTTTGTTTAGAAATATGACTAGAGGAAGGTCAAGGCACCACACTGTCCCAGAGAGCTGCCTTGATTTGTCCTAACTGTAGCGCATGACTGGACAGTGGTCTTCCTGGATCCCCCATCTTGTGATCTTCTGCATCTTCCCAGGGCCTCCCCACCCCCACTTCGTTTAAATCTGCCAGTGGGCATCAGTGGCTTGCAAGTACTTCTAGTGATGCATTAATTTGCATTTTAGAAGCAGGAGGCACTCCATGAAGCCTGAGACCATATTCATTTAGCCCATTATTGGGTTATTAGCAACCAGGACAGCGTTTGGTATGAGTAAATATTCTGGGCTGCAGCCAGTAGCAAAGCAGTACTTTAATGAAAAGAGGTTTGGTAGGACCCTGTATGATGACAGCTGAGACTACTGGAGGCCCTACTTAACATGAAGAGTCATGCTCTGACCCTCAACGCTGCCACACTGGGAGGTGTCGTGTACGTAGGCTATAGAGAAAGTGGTGGCCCTGGAACTGAACAGCATTTCTGTCCTTCCATGTCAGGCTTGTGTGTTTCTGATGGTGATAAGATTTCTGAGGGAAGTGGTGGCCTGGTGATGATGGGGAGAACTTGACATTAATGGTGGCCCTGTCATTGATGAGGATACAATAGGTACTGGGACTTCTTGTTAAGGTTGGATGTTCTCAAATCCTGACAAGAAAGCCAGCAGGGCAGAGGAGGAGGAAGAGTGCTAGAGGGAGCACTCGGTGGCTGAGCGGTCCTAGACAGCAGAGGCACACCCTCTCATCCCCGTCCAAGCTCCTCATCCCTGAGACACCTGGGTGATCAAACACCTGGATGCCAAAGCCGGAAAGACCTGAGGCTTCTCCGGGACTTTGTTTCACGGAGCTGATGCAAGTTCTGTGGAGCAGAATGCAGTATGATGGGCCGGGGAAACGTGAGCTAGGTCCTTAATTGTGGGGCTGGTTCTGGGAGCATCAGGGTGTTAGGTGGAGGCCCGTGAACAGATTGCTTAGAACTCAGGGTGCGAAATATAGCCTGCCATTCCACCTCCTCCCATCCTATTCCTGGTCTCCTGGGGAGAGAATGAACCGCCAGACAGATCCATGGGTACCAAACAGTTTTATTGGAAGCATTGAAGTCTAGCCTTGGAGAGACTGTGCTCTCATTCACACCCACATTCACATTGGTTCTCTAGGCACAGCCCTGGCTGGGTTAAGTCTGGAGCAGAGCATCAGGAGGCCTGGTCATCTCTCCTGGTCCTTGGTTCCTAGGGCCAGGGTGATTCACATCCCTTTTCTCAAGACACAGGGCTCCTCTGGTGCTGTCATGGTTAACCGCTGTTGTTCCTGCTCTAAGGGGAGGAAGGAGAAGCAGGGTCATGGGCTGGAATCTTGGACAGGGGTTTGGAGGATGGAGGAGGGGCTGAGGAGGGTCAGGCTTGCCTCAGCAGGAGGCTTCTTCAGTCTTCGGATGAGGCGTTGCACCCAAGGCTGGTCTGGGGCTGCGCAGATCTGGTAGCCCCTTAGTGTGGTGAACCTGCAGTCAAAGGTCAGAGAGAATGAAGATCTGGAACCTGGTTTCCTAGAAGGCCCTAGAATGAGGAGCAGAGGCTTGGATATTATGTGTGGGGACCTGTTTCCGGGGCTTTATTGGAAGGTGGACTCGGCCATGAGTTCGGGGATAAGGCAGCGGTGGTGTCACCAAGAGCTGACAGGGAGATGGGGTTAGAGAGTCTTCCCACAACTCACACAACAGCAGGCACCCTGCAGCCATCCTTGAGAAGAAGGTAGCGGAAGGCTTTCACGATGTTCCCAGGGATGGGGCGCTGGGTCACAGACAGGCAGCAATCTTCCGCATCGTTAGCGCCCCCAAGAGCTGGGGCTGAGACAGGAGAGAGAAGGGGAGAAGACATGGAGGCCGTGAGGAAGGAGAGCCACAACCCTAAGTGACTTCAACAGCATCTCTGAGTGAGAGAGAGCTGGACCTGAGATGCAGCCACTGTGTGCCACCGTGGCCCTTTCGGCTGCTGAACACATCGTCTTCTTCTAAGCCATTTAATAAATAACCATTTCCGTACATCCCACAAATGCCTTCTTGCTGTCCTGGTCACACACCCTCTCCCAGATTTTCTCAATTTTCACCATGTTTCAGCAAATAGCGAGTGGATGGTGTCACAGTGCAGGGACAGGAGGTGTGCCTTGGCCAAGGACTTCTTCAGTCTTATGAATTACTACATGGCCAGCAGATGGCTGCTGCACCCGGAGTCCCAGCTCCTGGGGAAACCGAGACGAAAGGATCACCCAAGCCCAGGCCTGTGAAGCCAGCCTGGGTAACATCGAGAGACCCTATCTCAAAAACCGAACCAAACCAACACACAAGGCCCCTCAACAGGAACAACAGGAAGGGGACGAAGCTGTTGAGCAGGCCTGCTCCAGTGTTTCTCATTCCCTCAAACTGAAGCAGATACACAACAAAGCCCTGACGCACGACCCCAGTGGTGGCATTGAATCCAGGGCTTCAGACACGAGACAAACACTCCAACTCAGTTACGACCTTAGATCCCCGAAGCAAGAAATACTGATCCTTCCTTGTGCTGCTTGGAAACTGAGGTATCAGGACATGGCACTTGCAGGGAGAGGGGGCAGCTAAAGGGCCCCAGGAGATGCCAAGAGTTGAGCCACATTGGAATTCAGGGTTAGGGGCACATCCGTACTGACAGGCACACACAGAAGGCACAGGGAGCCTATGGCTCTGAATTTGCAGGGTCTGTCATGACCATTGTGACAGTCTGCGATCCAGACATTACCCACAAGCCATTGTCTCCCCCAACCTTAGTTATCCCCTCAGCCTTACCTGGGAAGGTCCCGAGAAGCAGCAGGCTGAAGGCCAGTAGTGGGCCTGCACCGAGTGCCATGGCGGGTGAGCTGAGGCAGGCCACAGAGAATGTGTAAGCCTGAGAGTTCTTGGGTGTGTGCAGGAATCTGTGAGAGGCTCAGGCTCTGCGGGGGGTGCGGGAGTGATGGGCGTCCTAGAGGGATGTGATGGGGTCCAGAGGCAAGAGGATGTGAGCCCGTGTGAGCCCGTGTGAGCCTGTGTGAGCCCGCCACCGGCTCCAATTTATGCCCCAAGCTTTCACTTTCTGTCCAAAAAAATTCCCCGCCATGGCCCATTTGGGTCTTCCCGTTTACCCCCCCTCTGCCCCTTTTTTTTTTCTTTTGGCAAAACATGACCTTGGCTTCCTTCTTCCCCTCACTCAGTGGCTTCCCCTCTGCTTTCTTTGGCTTTAGCTCTGAGAACTTCCACAGTCTGGCCAAAAAAATAAAAAAAATAGAAAATGCTGTGTCCTGTCATTTCCAGGGAGAGGGTGTGTGCTGTCTCTTGTTAGAACCATTGGCACTGTCAGCCGTAGGCCCGGGCCTCAGAAGTGCTGGTGAGGGAGAGGGAGAGTTAGGAGCAGAGTTGACCAGCAGGGCTGGAAGGGAAGGTTCCCAAGGACAGGGCCCAGGACCCTTGTCCTACCTCTCGGTCCCCTGTGACTCAACCACCTGGATCTATAGGCATTGCCCATTTCTCAAATCCAGTGCCTAGGTCAGAGGAACAGCCGGAGGGAGCCTGGGATAGAATAGCCCCTCCATCTTCCCTTCCCTCAATCCTGGGAACCGAGAGGGGATTTCTAACGAGAGGGGCTGGCCAGCCCCTTCTGAGACAAATCCCTAAATTTCAAGGAATTGACAGATGGGGGAGGAATTAATGATTTCCCCATCCTTGTGAGAAAGATTAGAAGAGAGGACCTCAAAAGAACAGCTAGCATGGGTTACCCCCCAACCCTCCGCACCCAAGTTCTGGCTCCTCTGTGTGTGTGTGTGTTGTATAGAAATGTGTTTGTGTGCATGCCCATGTGGAGGCCAGAGGTTGATATCTGGCGTCTTCTTCCGTGACTCTACACCTTAGATTTGGAGACAGGGTCTCTCATTGAACCCGGAACTCACTGGCTTGGCAATTCCAGCTGGTCAGTGAGCTCAAGGCATCCCTCTTGTCTCTGCTTCCCCAAGCACAGAGAGTATAGATGTGTGCCACCCCTTTTCAGGTGGGTTCTGGGGATCCAAGCCCAGGGCCTCAGGCTTACCCAGCAAACACTTTACTGTCCCAGCCATCTCTCCAGCCCTCGGATCCTCTTTTTTTTTTACCCGGGGACGGGGAGGAATGTTTTCTTACATCTCTGACTTAAAACTATTTTAAAATCACACTTCTTTTTTTGTGTGCTAGGGAGGGCCAGATGTCCCAGCACATGAGTGGAGGTCAGAGGACAACTCTGAGGAAGGTGATTCTCTCCTGCCACTGTGGAGATGCCAGGGATCAAACTCAGGTCATTCGGCTTGATAACAAGTGCCCTTACCACCAAAGCTGGCTCTAGATTTCTCACATTTATCTTTGTTTTCATTCATTAGTAATAATAACAATAGCATTTCTGACTGTCCTCTGGGCTCTGGTTCAATCACTCCGCCAGCAGTACCGTGTGCAACTCTCCCAGGCGTACTAAGGCACATGCTTATTACCCTGGATTGTAATCCTTGTTTTACACATACAGAAAACAATCACACCAATAGTTCCACACCCCCAACCTTGTCTGTGCCAACTGTCTGCTGGGCACAGCACGCGGTCCGGAGCACACAGTGTGCAGAGGTGGGAGTCCGCCAGCACCCCCCACTGGCTGTGTGGCCAGGCAGTTAGTCCTCTCTGTGTCCAGGGTCCTTACCTACAGAAGGGGGACAGCAGTACATTTGCTTCTTAGGGTTAAATAGGCTTTCCTTATTTTACTCAGTAAAGGCATTTTAGCCCAGAGGCTGGCACACTGTGAGCACTCGCTAGCCTTCATTCTCATGCCCTCTTTCCACACAGGCATCTGTCTGTCCATTCCACAGCGGTGGCTGCTCTGCCTTCCCATCTTTGTCAGTTCTCTGCTCTTCCTGTCCTGTTGTGTTCCCTGGAAGGCTGACCTCTGCAGCCTGCATTATCCAGGATCCGCTCCCCCCACCCGGCTTCTTCTGTTTGGCCAGAGAGGCAGCAGCAGGAGCTAGGTGGACAGGAAAGGTGTTTGTTTCCTGATGCCTTTGTACTGAAGTGGGGCTGGCCTCCCGCATGCTGGGATTAAAGGCATGTGTGCCACCACCGCCCACCACCGCCCAGTCTCTAGACTAGTGCTCTTATGTAGTTCAGAGTGTTCTCAGACTTACAGCAATTCTCCAGTTGTAGCCTCTGGAGTGTTAGGATTATCGGCAAGGTCACTCTGCCCATCTCTAGTCACAGACCCTCCTTTTTTTCCTCCCCTTCAGACTTCTGGATGGTAATGAACCCCACCACAGTCAGACCCAATGGTGCCATATTATTCTCCCAAAGCTCTTTAATCCCCCACTCCACCTCTCAAATGGATGTTTTATTAAAATCCTTTTTTGTTATTATTGCTATTATTATTATTATTATTATTAGTGTGTGTGTGTGTGTGTGTGTGTGTGTGTGTGTGTGTGTGTGTGTGTGTGTGAGAGAGAGAGAG